CATACATTTCCTTATAACAGGACACCACAGAAACCAAGCTTGGGCTACCTGTGGTGGAATAGTGAATGAAAATACTGTGCTCCTGTCACGACTTTAATTACTCTTGGAAAGCCTCTTCCAACATGTTGAGGCAGATTATTTTTCATTAAAATGATATATGATATGCCTTAGCATGTCCCGACAAAACTCGAAAATAATTCTAGTCTACTTTTTTGAGTTTTTAAATACCATTATCAAAATAAATATATTTGATTTATATAACTATATTTAATTTTGGTTGAGGGGTGAGAAAAAAACTTGGTAAAAACTCCTTTTCTAGTCTAGTTATGCAGTTGCATTTATTTGAGAAATGCCTCGCTTAATTTCTTCCCCTTAAAATAGAAAAGAAAAATTTCATCCGTCACCACAAGTAAGAGCGCAGCTGCTTTCAACTTTTACAATTTGTTTCGATGTAGTTCTATATAAGAATCATAGAAAACTTGTCCTCCGTTCCTCTTTTACGCCGACGAAGGACTAGCGTCCGAAACGTCATTAAGTTTTTTCATCTTTCCACGATGTAAAATTTACCCTTACATGTATTACTGTTTTATTAGAAACACCGACGCAGCTAACACTAGTTTTTAGCTAGTTGGTATCTCTTCTTATTAGGGAATGTATAGGAGATATCATGAACATATTATAATAAAATGTTTCAATCGACAATTTGCTTTAAAACTTGATACAGTCGTTTCTTGTACATTGTTCAACAGTCTCGCGAAGTTTCAGCGCGATTTGAGTCCGTTTAGTGAGTTTTTTCGAAATCTGCTCTTCTCCTATTATTTAAAGAGAGAAACTGAAACTTCGCTAACAGCAAAATGCGGCAAAAGCTGAGCATTCGATGCGGAGATTTCTAGAATTGTTTTAAAAAACTAAATTATTCTCAGAATTAAATTTGATAGGGAAAATATATTTTACACGTATAAAATCTAAAATGAAACTGCGGAATTATTCTGGAAAAAGACATCTTATTTTGAAAGTTGTTTTAGTCGACTGATATATGATGGCATAACATAAGGCCTGCAATCTAAGAAAATCTAAGTAAAAAATGATAGCGTGTATGGCATCTCAGGCGATCTTAGGCGATCTAAAGCGTGGTAAGGATGCAGA